CAGCTCCTTGGGAGGCTGATGGGGCAGGATTGCCTGAACCCAGAAGGTCAAGGCTGCAGTGAGCTGTGAACCCATGATTGTGCCATTGCACTCCAGCCTGGGCAATAGTGTGAGAACCAGACTCAAAATAATACAAATTTTTATTAAAATGCCTAACCACCTCTTTTGATTAAAAAAAAAAAACGCATTTGGTAAAATTAAATGCACATAAATTATTTTTAAAACGAAGAAAAAAGAAGCAAAAAACAAAACAAAAACCCTAGCCACAGGATGACTGGACTTGTCTCTCAACAATTGGTGTCATAAATATGACTCCTTAAAGTGATATAACTATCAGATGAAGTGTATCATCCAGGTTATGATCTAGATTTAGACAAAGCAATTAGAAGAGAGGACTTGAAATATTCCTAACACATAAAAATGATAAATACTTGTTATCATTACACATTCTATGCATGTAACAAATATCGCATGCTCCCCATAAATATGTAAAAGTATTATGCATCAGTTAAAAAAGAAATAGTTGAATGATAAAGAATATATTAGGAATATTTAGGAAAATTTAAATATAAATTGGATATATTAAAAACAAAAATTTATTCATATGGAAGGATCATGAAATAAAAATAACAGATTACAAAATAGTATGCACAATAAAAGCATCCAAAATAGTGCTTACTTTCTTGTCTCCCTGGTTCTCTCTCTCTCTCTCTCTCTCTCTCTCTCTCTCTCTCTCTCTCTCTATTAAAAGCAGAGTTAAATGTCATTTTATACCTAAAAAAATATGAAAACTTTAAGAGTTTGGAAAATAGCAATTGTTAGTGCGAATGAGTATTAATGGGAACTCAAATATTACTGCTGCAATTATAAATTGGTAACAAGCTGTAATTATTTTATAAAATTTAACATCTAGATAACTTATAATCCACTAATTTTATTATATGCCCATAAATAATACTTATTAATATATATCTATATACCATAGAGTAGTGATTCTTAAATGCTAACATGCTTTAAAAATCACTTGGAGAGCTTATTAAAGTTTTATGTATCCTTTCTTAGAGACTCTGATTCAGTAGTTCAGACTGAGACCTCTGAATCTGCATTCCTAACAGCTCACGGGTTCTGATCCCAAAACCTTGCTTTGAGAACCACCACAATTGAGAAATGTATCATTTGGCTAGACGCAAATGTGAATGTTCATGACAGCACTGTTCATAATAGTAAATGGATCTAACAACAAGTTAAATGTTCACTGACAGTTATATGGAACAGTGATAGATCTTGAAAAGTTATAGAAGATTATATACACTATGGTTGCCATTGTGAAGAAAGTGGGGAAAAAAATTTCTGCATACATTATGATATATTCTCTATAGGTCAAAAGAGCTTAATAAAAAAAGGACATGTAGTATCAAGCATTACAGTTCTTAAGACATATGTGTTAACTAAGGGACAGGCTAATAAACCATTGATAGGTTATTCTTTTATGTAATCTTAATCTTCGATATCTATAAGGGATGAATCAAAACTTTTTGTCTATGTATACCATCTAATTTATTCCTCACCTTTTTCATTTGATCCCGTGTTATCTAGTAAAGGGTAGGGGTTGACCACAGCAGCTTAATAGTGTAGCCTCTGATATCAGTTGTCTTTCTGCAAAGTCAACCAATGACAGGTGTTGATAAGAGTTTAGAGGGTTTGAGGAAGGAAGAAGCCTTAATGTTTCTACCTCTTCCTCTCTGTCTCAGGTGGCAAATTTGGCAGCAATATGTCTTTTCATGACTCTAGCTTCCCAGACAAACAAGTCATATTTACAGCTACTGCTGAGATGATGCCAGCCCTTAGATTCCAGAAACTGGCCATTTTCTTCACTTTGCACCTCAGTCTAGGGGTGATGGGTTGTACTCTTGCTCACCTCTGGCCTGCTCACCACCCCATTGCCTTCTCAGCTGCTCCATCACCTAGGTAGGCAACTCCTTTCACTACATCCTTCTGTTGGAAACACCTGGAAAAATTTCCTTTTTAGTGGTTGAACCTTAGGTAATACATTTTATTTCATTTTACGCATCTTTAACGGAGTGTGTAAATATGCATTTTGAAAAACTGGAGAAGTCTTTTCATTGCTTAGAATAAAATAAGATACAAATGTTGTGAAGTAAGAAAGGGCATACACCCTTATCATAAAGACTTTCCTGCTTCTTCCTTATGTATACTTTCTAGTGTTACCTGCAGAAACATTATTCAACTTGGTGGAATGGCCAAGCTAATTGTTATCCTAAACTGGCACTGTTTTCTCTTTTTCCAAGAAAGAAACTAGACACAGCAGCCCATTTAAATTGAAATGCACATAAATGGCATATATTTCGGACTGAACAGGATGGAAATCAAATCTTAGTGTTCACAGTACCATCCAATATGAGACTCAATGCTCTGGCTGAACAAATGATCTTTGTGGCCAATGTTTCTCTCGTGTACTTTTCATGTGCCACAGTAAGACCCAGTATAAGCAAACAAAAAGATGAATTCTAAAGAGACATGCACCAATTGTGTATTTTTTCCCATTGCTCGATCCAGGCTTAGTGGAACAGGGTCCACCTGCAGCTTAAGAAAGCCACAGCATAGAAAGAGACCATCCAGGCATCAGTTCTACATCGAGTCTACAAATATTTACTCAGTCTCCACGGTAGGCCCAGGAATATGCCAAGCATTATTTTCTGAAATTTGAGCTAGAATCCTTAAAGAATAAATAAAACCAGGGGAATGGGACTGGCAGTTGAGGGAAACTACTAGGGGAGGAAGGGGCATACCTCATCAACAAGTGTACCTGTATGATCGCTGTTTATATACCTAACCCTTAGTTGTACCCCACATCTTTATAATAAATAAATAATTTTTTTAAAAAAGAAGAAGGAAAAATAAATAAATAAACCAAACATGCTCGTGTAAGTTATAAAAATAAGCAGCGAAACCATTCAAAGGGAAACACTGACTCAACCCATCTCAGGAATAATGTTTTCCTTATCACATCACTACACATCTATTCCAATTACGTTCTGTTTCTCCTTTAGCTCTTGATCTATAATCGCTGGATAAACGCGATTCTCCTATGGGGCTGACTAAAGTGGCATTTTCTCTTTCTTTTTTCTTCCAATTTACATTTAGTTTCCTTATCATTTTGGATCATTAGAAAGGTAGATCACTTTTAAAACAGCAGAATCTAGGCCCACAAACCACAATTAATTCCAATACTTTCTGTCCATTTGCATAGCATAGATGGAGGTGGACCAACTTAATCCCATAAATGTTTTTAAAATGCATGTTAGTCGTCTGGCACTTTAGTCTATTATATTTTATTTACTTCATCATCTAAAGAATGATTTAAAAGTATGTTAGCAACCTCAGCAGATGCTGTCAGTACCCTGTCCGCATTGTCTCAGCTGTACCATTTCAATGGACATCAGCCTGACATCTAACTACCAGAACTTTCTTTTCTTTGCTTGTGAGCTTTTTCTTGACACTGGAACCTTTTTCTTCATCCTTGTCCAAGACCAGAAAGACCTGGAAATTCATGGACGCCAAGACCAGTCTTCAACCAAAGAACATTCCTTTCCTTGAGTGGCATAGATCTGAGGGATGTATTAACAGTCCCCAGAAAGATCAGAACTAGTTGCCCATGGTGGACTTTGTTTGGCAATTTCCCCTTATTGTCTGTCATCACTACCCCATATCACTCCCCACTCCCTTCTCAGTATTCCCTTCATGACCAAATTATTTTTATTCAATAATACAAATAATTGTATTACCATTATCTTAAGAAATGCTTCTAGGCTTCTAGAGAAATACAAACTGAGGGGGAAAAAAAATCTCTCAACCCTTTGGGAGAACATTAGCCAATCCAACAAGACGAATTGCCCTCATGTATGTTTTCTAGGGAAGAAATAAGTGAATAGATGCTTACTCTGATAAAGCTACAGCGATTAATGAAGAAACCAACCATTACAGCAACACTTCACCTTTCTTTTCTTTTCTCCCTCACATTTTTTTAAGTCTGATTTCTTTCATCAGAGCATCTTTGGGCACAACAACAGAATAAATTCTAACACTACAAATTACAATGACTGAGTGACCAAAACTCTGCCCATAGAGAGCCCACCATTGTAATATATTTGGTTGCGCTCACTTATTGATAAGCTTTATGTCTTCATTTGTTAGTTTGTCATTGAAGATGCAAATAAATTGTTAAAAGATTATCTCCTTTCCAAACCATTATTATGATGCTATTTTTGTTTCTCTGACTATAGAGAACTAAATTAAATTTACATGCAAATTAGTGCCAATTGAGCTTACTTTTTAGGATTTACAGCAGTGAACTGTAAAATGACTGTGATGAAAGCATATATTCTTTTTGACTCAAGGCATCATGTTGCTATTTGGGGGGGTAAATGTGTTATCTTTTCAAATGCAGTTTTGCAGCTGATTCTAATAGACTTTACACAAAGTATACTGGCCTCCAAAAATAGGGCTGTGTGTATATCAAGACTGTACTTCTATTGTTAGCCTTTAAGCTTTTCCATTACTTAACATCTCTGCATCACAGACCATTACACAGCACAATAAAGAGTAGTTATTTCCTGTGGAGAGTAACTTTTCTTTTGTGACCAGATTACAAGTTAGGTTTGACAAATGAAAAGAAACAAAATGCTAGTCTATTGAGAGAAGCAATTAATAATCTATTTCCACTGCTTTCAGCAAAACACAAGCAAGGCTTGAATTAAGAAAGCATTTTTGGGGGGTTGAAAAAGAAAGTTATAAAGATGATAAATTGCTGAGTTTCTAATTTGCTTTTTATTGTCTGAAGTACTCATTGGTCAAGGAGAGAAATCACACTGTTTCTACAAATGAGTGTTATGAACATTTAAAACAAATGCCACCACTCTGTGAACAATGAAAGGTAAAAAGAAAACTGTCATGGAAGAAAAGTAAAGACAACCTAGGGATTTTAAAGGCATTTAACCATTCTACTGTCCTTTATTAGTGTTTTCATATACTTAAGACAGAATATAATGGAAGTAGAAGCAAGGAGCCTGGTGGATAAAACAAGAAAACAGGTGCATTATATTAATAAGGTGAAGAGACAAAGATTTCACTGTCACAGAGGACCTCACATTGCTAAACATCAACTGAAGGGATTTCTTAAATGCATGGCTTTATGGAAATTTAATGATATGTTATGGTTCATCTGAACTTGTCAGTTGGCCCCAAGCTGCGATAATCAACTTTTCAATGTCAGACTCATTTACTCCTCGAAGAATCCTGAAATAGCCATTCTCTCCCCATGACTTTCCCCAGGAATTGGCAGCAATCTGAAGAAAAACAAAGAAGTGAAAAAGTTAAGTACCATGCTTTAGCATTTTTAAAATCTTGTCTATAAAAATATAATATATGGATCTTTAAATACCTTTTGACTTGTTATAGACTGTAATTATTAAGAGCTTAAATATTTTCTAAATAATAACTACTATTTGTCAGTTCCACTAACGTATATTGGCAATTGCCAGAATTGGTATGACTCTTCTGAGTTCCCCAGAGTACAAAGGTAACAAAAGGGTAACAAAAAGGGTAACAAAAGGGTAACAAAAAACTAGAGTTTGAAATGCCACATCACAAGATGGCACACAAGATGCAGTTATAGAGTGTTTATTGTGTGGACAACCTTGTGCTACGTACTGGAAGACCAATGATAAGTAATATATTATTATGTGTTCAGGGAACTTATAGTCTTATGAAGGATAACCAACACCAGGCAAGTGCTAAAGTAGAAACATGAACAGGGTACTATTGGGGTCAGAGGAGGGACATCTCACTTATTTGCCAGTTCAGGGAAGATATCCCAACCTCCCTATTACCCTATTACACTCAGGTTTTAATATGTGATGCATATTAAAACCTGAGTGAAAATTCACCAGCTGGAAAAAGGAGAAAGAGAGATTCAAGTAATGGGCAACAGTAAAAGCATAAACACCGAAGCATGAAACAGCATGAAGTGGTGAAATGAAGCAATAAAATTGCTATAATTAGATCATAAGATGGAAGCCTGTTGGTAGGTTATGAGGTTGAAAGGGGAGGTAAGGACATTCATGCTGAGAGAAAAATTATGAAGATGATGGCAAGTCATTGAATTGCTTCTAGCAGGAGAGCAAGGTGGGCAAGTTCATATTTTGGTGGTACTATCCTATCGATTTAAGAGGTCAGAGACAAAAAACAGAGCAACTAGCTATCAGACTCTTAGAATATGGAGGCGGGGTTAAAAGAAAAACAAAAATAAATTATCTTTTGAGGGCAGGCCCCTTGTATTATAAAACTGGCTTCTCCTGTTAGACGAGTGTTCTAGGAACCCATCAGCACCAGTATACCAGCCAGCATTGTTGTGAGAAACTGTGTTCAGTTTCAATCATTTTTTTTTTCTTTTGGAGATTCTTTCAATGCATTTTCCCATTTCACGAGGAATGATTTATGAGCACACTTGCCCATGCTGCACTAAGTGTTAGCAGTTTTTAACGAAACATGATGTGAGCCCCATACCCCATCCTCCCTATTACCTGATTTCTCCCTGAGCATTTTTTTTGGTTGTTTCCCCAGATGAAAAAAGACCTCAAAGGGAAATGCTTTGAAGTGAAACAGGTAAAACAAAAAACAGCAGAAGCACTAAAATGCATCAAAGTTGACAAGTTCAAAAATCATTTTGAGGATTGGAAAAAGTGTCTCAATAGGTGTATTGCATCAAACGAAAAGTACTTTGAAGGTGACTGAAGTTTAAACATGGAAGAATGAATGCACATTTTTAAAATAAATACATCCCTGATTTTTTGGGGTCTCCCCTCGTAAATTAGTTAGATAACCTAACTGTGGCAGAGAACATAGAGATACAGTATTTGAGAAATCTTTAGAAGTAAAATCAACAGGAATTATACTTTTATAATTTTAAAGATGTGGGATACAATTCAGAATTAGGTATACAAGTGGTCATGATACAGGTTAAATTTGGGCTTCCGTTTGGTACCCACTTCACCTGATTTGAGATCAGGTATCCTTATTGACATTATGTGTTCCCCCTCCCTCCACTGGCAATTTCCGGCTACTGCCAATCCCTTTCTTATAGTAACATGATAAATGTTCAAGGACCACTTATGAGTGAGAACATGTGGTACTCAGTTCCTTGTTTCTGTGATAGATCCCTGAGTATTATAGACTCTAAATCTATCCAAGTTGCTGAGAAGTCCATACGTGTGTCCTTCTTCATGGCTACATAATATTCCATCATGTATATATACCACATCTTTTTACCCAGTCCAGTTTTGATGGGCAACATAGTTGGTTCCATGTTTTTGCTATTGTGACTAGTGCTGCAATAAACACGTGCATGCAGGTATCTTTTTTGAAGAATGATTTGATTTCCTCTAGTTATGTTCCCAGTAGGGGGAATGCTGGGTTATATGGAAAGTCAATTTCTACTTCTTTTAAAAATTGCCACACTATTTTCCATAGAGGTTGAACTAGTTTGCATTCTTACTAGCAGTGTAAAAGTGTTCCCTTTTCTTTGTATCCTCGCCAGCATCTGTTGTTGTCTATTTATTGATGATGGCCATTTTTACTGAGGTTAGGTGGTATCTCAATGTGGTTTTGATCTGTATTTCTCTGATCATTAGGGAGGCTGAGCACTTTTTCATGTGTTTTGTGGCTGCTTGTATGTCTTCTTTTGAGAAGTGTCTATTCATGTCTTTTTCTCACGTTCTAATGGGGCTGTTAGATTTTTTTCCTTTGGGCACAATAGAGTTCCTTGCAGATCCCGGATGTTAGGCCTTTGTCAGATATACAGTTGGCAAATATTTTTTCCCATTCTGTCGGGTGTCTTCCCACTCTTTTGATGGTGTCTTGCTTTGCAGGAGCTTTCCAGTTTAATGAGGATCCACTGTTTATCTTATCTATTATGGCATGGGCAACTGGGGTTTTGATCAGAAATTGGTTGCCTATGCTGATTCCCATAAAGGTATTTCCTGCGTTTCTAAGTTTCTTATAGTTTGAGGTTTTATGTTTAGGTCTTTGATCCATTTAGATTTGATATTTGTGTATGATGAGGGGTAGGGATTATAATTTTTTAATTCTTTTTATTTTTAAAATACAAAGATGGGCAAATGGTTGGGAGTCATAGGTCCAGAATGACTCCTGGATTTAAACCATGGGTGAATAAGTGCATGGTAGAGCAAAAAATCAATGGAGTATGCAGAGGATATCATTGACACCAAAGGGCACACAGAAGGGGGTTAGTTCACCACAAGGAAATGCAGGAGAAAAGTCCAGTAAATTGGAGACTTGACAATAACAGCTCTCACATTTGTCTCCCATTTACCCTACACTGGGCCTCAGATGGAAAATTTTCCTGGGTGTTATCTACACTGATATTCTCAAAGCATATGGTGCTATAATGAGTTTTCACTTGTTTTCTACCACGTAAGAGAGGGGCAGATTCACTCAGCATCAGAAATTGTCATGACAAACATCAGCTTTAAGACATAGTGATTATCTTCAGCATTTCTTTTTAAGATTTGCCTCCGTGCCTCCTTAATCAGTACTGACATCCTAAAGGAGCACTCTCAAAGCTGTGCCTAAAATTATGAATTCAACTTACCACTTCAAAGATGAAATGGACTTTGAATAGCTAGGAATGAGACAGCAACAAAGTGTGTAAGAGTTTTAGTCACAAAGAACTAAAATAAATGTCAATTTTTGTATTTTCTAGTCAGTTCCAATACATATATTTCAAAAAAAATTAGTCATAACTTAAGATAAATTATTAGGAGTATTAATATTTTTGAATTCTTAAGAGTATGATATGTAACATTCTCACTTGGATCTCTGAAGATTAGTACCATCCAAAATTTCCTAATTATATATTTGGTAAATATGGGAAGGTTATGTAAGAATTTTATATGAATATGTGAATTTATGTGCTAATGAGAACTAACCATAGATTTAAAAGAAAGGCAATATAATTATAAAGAGTGGGACTTTGTAAATTAGTGCTAATAAAATGTACCTCAGCACATGTATTTCGTTTGTTAATATTAACTTCCTACTCTCATTCAATTTCCTCACCTACTTTGTTTGTTTCATCCAAATGCCTGAATTTATTTGTATTCAGTTATAAAGAAAAGAGTGACAAAGCAGGAAAGAAAATTTCTAAATATTTAGCTTGCCATCTTTTGTATTGAGATGATAAAATCACATGTGTAAGTGTATTAATTTTAATAAAGCAGTTTTGTGAATTTACACGTGTTTATGACATTTAGCTTGTGTAATTTCCAATTAGATCAAGATATAAACCATTTTAGCGCCCCAAAAGGGTCACTTTCCTGTCAACATCCACCCTCCTCTACCTCATCAATTTTTCCTATAACCAATCTTTGTAATAATGCAAAAATACAAAAGATACTATTTTGTGTGTGGTTTCTTTAGCTAAAAATAATGTTTCTGGAATTCATCTACGTGCAGCCATAAATCGTTATGTTCTTAATTTACAATCTCCGATAAAAAATAATGTTGACCAGATTTTCATTTGTCTGTTGGCCATTTGAATTTCCTCTTTTCTGAAGTAACTGAAAAAACTTTCCTCTAATAATTTGTTGTTTTTTAAAAAAAATTTCCTATATATTTGTAAGAATTTCTACATGTTCTATATGTGAGTCCTTGTCAGATGCCTTTTCAGATAGATAGTTGGATAGATAGGTAGGTAGATAAATAGTTAATTTTCTCATTTTGTGCCTTATATTTTCTATCTTACAATGTTGTCACTTGAATTGTTGGTTTAATTTTAATGTAGTACAATATTTTTTTCTTATAACATTTATTCATTTTGTATCCAATTTAAGAAAGTTTTGTCTAATGGATACCACTAACATATTTGCCTAGGCTTTCTTCAAGAACTACATTATTGTGCAGTCACATTTAGGTCTGTGTTCCATCTCAAATTATTTTTGTCTGTATTTTGTGAGGTGGAGGCCTGTAATTATTTTGTTCATATGTATGTAAAATTTTTGTAGCCTAACTATGACTAATAGACCAAATTTGGGTAATGTAGCCCCTTAAAAGAAGGTCTAGTAGTCAGAATTTTTGTTTTTCTTAATGGTCTTGAAAATGTAATCTGCTGTATCATAAGAGGATCTGTGAGACTATCTGTGAGAGGACCAGGTAGAAGGAACTTCAAGCCCCCTCTGGGACCTCACAATAGCCTCAGTCAGCACAAAAATGGAGACTTGGCCCTACAACCATAAAAACTGAATTCTACCAACAATCATTAGCTTAGAAG